ATTCTCTTTCTTTTAATTGGTTAAATTAGAATTCAGAAAGAGAACTAATCTCAAGTTTAATGAATGTTACTTTTGATTAGTCAAATTTCAATCTAATTTCAATCTCTAGTCTGATCATGGCTTAACCCTTCCACCGACGGCTGCTGCGACTGAAGACAAAGCTTATCGCTCGGCAACGGTGAAAAACGTGACTAGTTATGATGAGCAGCGTGCCATGGCTGACAATGAGCCTCAATAAGACACTTACGATGGGTATTCGTGCAAAATTCGTTCTTATAGAATGTAATAGTTACGAAACATACGGAACGATTTGTAAATTAATCCTCACGATACACGATGCATTCTGTGACTGCGATTCAAAATTTATCGAAATGCGATACTGCGAGTATCGAGATATCGAAAAGATGGCGGACCAATCGTGTCGCGAGATGCCGAGGTCCGTTCGTTTCCCGCGTTTTTCACACTCGAAATAAGCGTATGCTTAATTTTTGAAAGAAAAAAAGAAATGAGTTGATATACCTAAAGCACAATCAGAATGATCAGGAGTTTTATGTTCGAAAAATATCACAAATGAAATTCTGATTTAAAAAAATATAGGCTCATGAGTTACCGCATAGATAAGGTTTAATATGATTTTATAAACCGTTAAGAAACACTGAGAAACATTTTTTTGTATTTGTGATAATTATAATTACATGGTAAAATAATTATAGAGCTCTACTTTTATAGTTATTATTTTATAGTTATTTATTGCTATAATGTTAATAACAATAGTTACACTTATAACTCTATGTACCAAAAAGAATATCATTCCTTGACATCAAAAGTGACAAAATTAAAAAAAAGTAATTTTTTAATTATTATCATGAATAAGTTAAGTAAAGATTATTCTATCAATCATGAAAAGTAGACTCAACTTCACAGTCTATCCGTCAAATAGCACTTGTAACGTGTTCTTAAGATTTTCAAAGAGATTATAGTACTTTCTATAAGTGACACATTTTGAATTGTATCGTTTCTGTAAACAAAAAGGAAATTCTATTCTATAGAAAATTAGAATTAAGATTGTTTTGATGATTGAAATATGAAGAAATTTTTTTATTATAAATTTAGCATTTCAGCTAATCAAGATACATAAATGTAAGCAGCTGATATGTTAAAGTACATTACACAGTAAAAAAAACATTATGTATTTGTGTTGGGAACGGTTCACTCACATTTTTATTAACAATTTATGTTGAATTTTTTAATATATTCGAGTGTTAATTTAACACTGTAATTATATATTTATACTGTAATTATGTTATTTAAAGATTTTCTGTTAAATTTAGATTCAACTTTTCTTAGTGTCAAAATGACATAATTTATAAATAAATAAACAAGAGAGTAACATAAAAATAATTTATTTTAAAACGTAAATTCTAAGGTAAATGAATGAAATATATGTTCAATTAATATATCATAAATGTTAATTATACTAAAAAAATATATTCGACAGTTTGTTTACAAACTGTGTTATCTTTTTTGTGATTATTTTTTTAATATAATATCTGTGTTATTCCCTAACATATTCATCTTATATATGTTAAATGAACACAAAATTTTGAATTTACCGTTCGAAACAAAATTGAAATGTGTTATATTTGATACAAATTTCCCAACAATGTACTTTTGCTGAATTATTCCGGATTTGTTATAATTTTCTAAGATATAAAATTGTCATAATTAAAAAAGGAGTGGTTCTTAGGGATTGTGAAACGAAAATAACGAAAATAATATTTGATGATGTGTCTAAGACAGGCCTGTTCAATTTGAGCTCCAGAATCAAAACATAAAAGCCATCAATACAAATTCAATGTATGTGGATAAGATTTCGGAGACTGTAAAGTGTTGATACACATCTAAGTGACGCTTATAAATACTTTATAGTCCTTGAAATCTGACTCACATTGAATTTTTTGCATCGATAGTTTTGTTTTGGCTTCGGAGCTTTTGAGCAAATTGGACAGGCCTCGTCTAAAAGTATATTCTTTTTGCTGATATTTCATTAATCAATAATTTTCTGTTTAATCGAAAAATAGCTTCTACCTTTTCTGAAAAACTTAATTTTTTTAGTTATATATTTCACTTTCGAAAGAAACAATATTGTTTCTGAAAACAACATTGTATACTTTACCATGTAATTATAATCCCAAATTCCAAAAACGTGTCTTTCAGTGAATGATTGAATTACTATTAATCCTTCGCCGGCAATGTGAATTTTTCATCTTTTGTCTGCAATTCTCTTCAAACTTTAGTATTGATTTTTATGTTGTATTCGGACTGTATAAAAATCTGAAAAAATTCTTACATATTTGCAAAAGCATTAACAAGTTTTTACCATTAAAAAGTTAAATTGCATTTTTGCTTGTTTTTTACAAATTTAAATTCATATACTCGAATTCACAATTGAAAAATCGATATGCTTTTAAAATCCAACATTGCCGATGGAGGATAAAAAAAACACGATCAACGCAATTAATTGTACGATGCGTGTACAATAAAAATATTTTGTATTTATGTGAAAACTGGTCTTTGTTAAAATTTTTATGTTCAATTTTTAACATATCCAAGTATTAATTTAACATAATGTGATTGTGTTATTTATGAACTTTGCGTCGAATATATTCAATATTTCTTAGTATTAAAGTAATTTGATAAAAAGAAAATGAACAAATAACATAAAAATAATGTATTTTAAAATATAAATTCTAAGATAAATAAATAAAATATGTAAATTTAATATATTATAAATGTTTTACTAAAAAAAAATATACTTTCGCAATTTGCTTACAAATGGTGTCAATGTTATTGTTGTATTAATTTTTACATAATATTTGCATTATTTCCTAACATATTCATCTTATATTAAATTAATACAAAAATTTGAGTGGACCATTTAAGACACATAAAATACGTTAGATTTAACACGAATTATTTAAGTGCGTATGCACACCTGACGACGATCGTATATCCAACGCACACTTACTGCATTTCGATAAGATATTTGAAATACAAGACAAAATTAATACTAATGATTGCGCGAAATGTTCAATGCGTTACGACACTTGCTACAATAATTCACGGGTAGAACTTACTCTCAAACAATCACGGAGCAACTAGAACGCAATTCGCCGTGGAAAGTTTCCACTGGAAATCGACATGATCCAAGCAAGATGTCGAATGGCGATACAATTCCCAAAGTACATACCGAAACCAAATACTCGTATCCGCTCGCCACTCTATCCGCAATGCTCGTCAAAATAGTTCGCGAATTTCGAAAACCAATGTGAATTCAATCGTTCGTACCGTCCAAGACAACACTCTGTGGCGCTGTAAACGAACCGGAGGCGATTTGAATCGCGGGCGCGGTTCAATTCCAACTGACGCGAAGTCAGCGCCATCGCGCGGGAGACAGCGGCGACGGCGGCGCCACCTGTCGCGAAGAATGCCAAGCAAAGTCAGGCGCCAGGTTGACCGCATGAACGAAATATCAGCTAAACAGCAACCCCCCTCGCTCCCCCTCCGCCCGCTCGATCTCAATCGATTCGCAGCCCGAGATGTCGGGACAATTGCAATTCGCGCGTGTCATCGCGTTCGTCGGGACGCGCGAAACACGTCCATCCGACGCGCGCCCTCTTTGCACAATGTGGTGTAATCCCCGGCCGTGCGCGCACGCAAGACCCGTAGCTGTTTCCCCATGGCACAGGTTTGCGTCACGCGCGAGCACATTGTCAGGCGCACGTATTGCCGAAAAATCGTGCCACTCACCGTCTCATTCTCCACGATGCACATCGGCTCCACTTCCATGGCGTCGCGCACGACACGCGTCGATCTACGGAAACGAATAGGCGCCTTCGGGGTGGCTCGCTCTTCGCGATGGCGATCGTCCGTAACACTTCGCGACGGCAACGTGTGTCTGTTTACAAACACTGCAAGGTCACACATCAGACCGCCGTCTCCTCCCCACCTTCCCGCCCACCCCCGCTCACTTCAGACCGCTCCGCGCATTACGTCACGAGGCGCGCGCGACTGTGGCGGCGCTGCGCGACGAGACACCGTACTTGCCGTGGAAATGCTACCAAACGTCACGCGCGCGCGTGCGAATGAACGATTTTATAGGTCGCGATGATGAACGAGAATAGGAACGAGGTCGGCGAGATGTCTCGGAAGCTGATAAAATTGAGTCAATAATCAAAGTAGAGGCGAGCGCCTTTCGTTTTACACGAAATAATGCACTCGTTTCCAAAACAGTCACCTGTAAAATTTGCTAGAAATCTTTGCGATTTCGAAAGAAATAAATTTCCTGATTTCTTTAATCGCCTTATACTCATTGCTATCAATTTTTAATCTCGATTTTACTCTTAATTTACTTAATTAATTTACTCTTTCTAATATTCGTCTCTAACAAACTAATATAATTTTTGATAGATTGAGATAATTAGAAAGAATCCTATACAGAGTACAGAAGCCTGCAACATTGCTGCGACATTTTTAATATTACTAGGATGTTGCAGTGTCACTGCAAATTGTTGGAATAATTTGATCTGTGAATATAAGGAAAAAGTAAAAGAAATAAAAGGAAAAGGTTTTATCGCAATATATTTATTCATTTCTGAAAACGTTGCATTAGCATTGCGATATTGTTGGAATAATGTAGTACGGAATAAAAAAAATACAAAGAAAACACATAGTAAAAGAGAAAATCATTATGAAAAAAAGATAAAAAAATAAATAAAAATGTTAAACTGAAATTATAAAATGAACTTTCTAAAAGTTAGGAAAAGATCAAGAGTAAATTAAACTAAATGTTAAAGTTAATTGATATCTATACATTGATAGAAATTAATGGATTTACATCATAGAACTGGAAAAAAATTAAAAGTGAGCTAAATCGAGATTAAAATTCATTTACACTGATAGAAATTCACGTTATTCCGCATTCTGAAATTGTCCCGTTATCGAAAAATGAAGAGAATGACACATTGTTCGTTGCTATCCAAAATGTTGAACAATGATCAGTAAAATTATAGTTTTCTCGTTCATGCAACAACACAAGAACAAAAATTGATGAAATGTCCGAAAAAAAACCATTAGATTCCGAATACGAGTGGATTGTTCGAATCTGTACGAACGCTTTCAACATATACCTAACGATGATACATTTTATATTTTATGACAACACTTTGAACTTGCAATCACAAAACTCTGGTAAGTCAGACAGATTAACGTTAATATAAGTATATAAGAATAAAATCTTTGATAACATTTAGTAAAAAAAATTTCAGAAATCTCGCTCTTGTCGTACACACTACTCATGACAGCGTTGGATCTTTTCGCGTATTGTGTTTTCCAATAAATTGATACAAATTGCAGGCGAGAGAAAATAAGGAAAAATCATGAATATATCATCAACAATGCATATGTCCCATGATACAGAAGAGAATAGAAATGGTTTTTGTGTAAAATATATATTCAAAACTTATATTTAAAGTCTCCATACAACACAGAAACTTGCAGCATTGCTGCAACATTTTGCAATATTACTGGAACATTGCTATAATATTGTTAGAATTATCTGTGCTGTATGGATCTCTGCTGAACACAAACTGACAGTAATATTACATCGTGTAACTTCTCATTCAACAATATAAATTATATCATGTAACATGTTGTACATACCACATAACAATTATATTGTTGACTAGGAAATTATAACATTAATGTAATGTTACTATTAGTTCTTGTTCAGGATCTCGTAGACGAAAAAAGAAAAAATCTCAAAGATGCCACCGACGCGACATATCGCACGACGCAGAAGAGAAGGGTAGAAATCGTATGGCTTATGTAAAAAATATTCAAAACTTATATTTTAAGTCGTCTTAGTGAAAATTCTCAATGCGGAATTGTACAAGACGTTCTTTATCCGTATTCTAAGTATCATAGGGGTAAGTCGGGGAAAGGGCGGGGGTGGGTAAGGATACGGTATATAATACAGTACTAGTCATCTTTATGTGTTCCAAAAATATTCTAGTTGTCTCTCTCGCTCTCTCGCTCTTCCACGCACTCTCGTCGTCTCACTGAGACATTTTTCTCTCTCGCACGTCTTCTCGCACTCTCCCCCTTTCCAAACACTATCTAACATGTCTATTATTCAGTCAAGCCACATACAAAGCCACACAAATTTGCAAGTCGAGAAAGCAACGGATGCTCGCACGCCTTCTTGAGCTAATATAGTGATAATCGCACTCTCCCGCCTCCAACACTATAAAAGCATTGAAGATATTTTATTGTGATGTTACAGCAAAAAAAAGACGGCGCAGAGATAATGTACAGTGGAAGTATTGTGACTTTTTGCTCCTACGAAATCATGCACATATCCGATACCACAGCTTTGCACTCTAATTTGTTCTATGCAATCGTCAATCTGTTTATAAATATCTATGACGAATCGCCAATCCATTATAATTATACTATAACAAATCATATTTATGGAAGGCAATAATGCAATTTCGAGAAATGAATGTATATCAAATCGTTTTCTTTTCGTTCGCGTACATACATTGTGATGACAAACGAAATACAAGGAGGAACAGTACACAAGACATCTTTTTCTCGCTCTGTGATACGGGTGGTCAAAAAATATAAGAAAATATAAAGCAAAGATTTACGGACACTAATAATTCATTTGTCCAATATTTATTTAAAAAAAAGAGCATTTAATATGCTTATGTTTACGATTAAAACAAAATGTTACATAGTCAAAATTATATTAAATGCCGATCTCAAAATAATCGACAAAATCACAATAAAAAATCACAGAAGGTTCGTCGAATAAATGAAAATAAAATTCTCGTAGACCACCCAATTCACGGAGCGATTGGACGCTGCTCACTTATTTACACAAATACTTATTAAGATATGTATACACCGAACAAATGATGAACGGAGAGCGAATATGAATTTTCATTATTAAATCTTGTAAAGATGTACGTGCACAGTAAACACAAACAAAATTTAATTCACATCCAATTAGATTATAAAACTCCCTCTCTGGTATAGAAAGTTCTAATAAATTCAACTTTACATTCACTCGTTCGCTCATTGCTCATTCGCCAAGTGTATCCACATCTTTTGAATACCTTAGAATTTTATAATTTATATACTTATACTGTACACATACAACCAAAACTATCGCTAGCAAATTTGTAATGTATGTACATAATTTGGCGGTTTTTGTTTGAAAATATTCAAAAATCCTTACACGACATACACAGTATGATCGCTATAAATCTATATAGCTGCGTTTTACTTCGCCAATAACGGCGTTGTATAAGTGGAAGAAGTTTCCGTCAGCCTTCGCTCGATTGTTTATACGAAACGAAACGTAATTACATAAATATCAAGAATCCGCCTATTATCTTTCGCTATTATAACTGATCGTTACTACAGCCCCCAAGAAAAAAAAAATTTCAAATCGGCGATAAGATACGTCTTTTCTACCATTGCGCTTCTTCCTTAGACCTTATTTTATCTTCCTTTTTGAGATACAATCGCTGATAGTCTTCCTGATAAGTGACATATTGCGCGTTCGATTTACCAGGCTTTTGTATAGTACCACCGACCGGCGAATTATTAGGGGAGTATTTCATTTCTTGTAACTCTTGCAATTCCTTCAACGATCTCATTACCATCTGGACATCCTTTTCCTGATCCGTTGGTTGTACTACATTCGCTAAAGTATCATCTGTAATAAAACCATCTTTCCGTTTATCAGTTAATCCTCGTGGCGAAGAATCATCGTTGATGATCTGACTAAGAAAATTAGTTGCAGCAATTGTTTCCTCGTTTTGCCTTTGTTCCTGTTCCTCCTTCGAGAGGGTTGTTTGCTGCGGCATAGGCACTACATCTTGGTTAATAGGCCCTATTTGTTGCTCAATCATCTTATGATCCTTCTTTCTTTTCTTCTGATCGTGCGACGATTTGTGCTTGACTTCCACACATCGCTCTCGTTTTTTCTCTTTTTTTTCAGTCTTCACGACCGTTGCGTCAACATCCTTGTCGTCCAATCTCTTTTCACATTTAACGTCAGCATTTTCCTGCAAGAACCTATGTTTCAAGGCTTGTGCTGAATAGGAAGTATCTTGTCTATATACGGAATGATGTCCTGTTTGGGAAATTTCGTTCGGATTACAATGGCTCACAAGTTCCGGACACGGTGTAATAGAAACTCTATCCTTTATCGCTTCAGTTATTTTTGTCGATAATTTATCATAATCAACACGTGTTATGGACAAAGAGCTGTTTGTTAAATCCATAAAATTAAATTTCTCAACGTGACTCTTACTTGGCTTTTGAGCCATTAGTTGTGCTGTAGGTACTACAGAAATTTTACCAACTGTAAAATTATTGACCGCAGCGCTTTCCTGCTGTTGGCCCGCATTATTCTCTGTATGCTTATCTTTATATTTATTACTATGTTGCTTCCTATCGGTATTAACGTCGTTAGACTTCGCTGTAGCTTGACTTGCAAAATTCGTCGAATTTTCGCCAATGATCTGAACTTTGGATACATTCGTGTTTGTCCTTTCGTTTTCTTGAGACAAAAGATTATTTACGTTTGTTGCATCATTCTTTGCAACATTGCAAACTTGAGTATTCGCAGAAGTTGTAACGTTGTTTGCATTGACCATTTCTTTTGATTTCTTCAACTTCTTCTTAATGCTAAAATCATAAAAATCCATTAATATAGAATAGCACGTGAATACTTGACATCAAATGAATATATAAATATAAGACAGGAAGAAGGCAAGCTGTATACAGTAAGAAACAAAAATATAAAGTAAATTTTCTGTGTGCATTTAATAATAATACCAAAGAGTGTATGATAACTAAAATAATTGAAGCAATTTTTGCATGTGCAAGAAACTAAAAAAAGCATTCGAGAAAGACAAATTAACATTAACATTAAACATTTGCGTACAAGTTAATATCATAATTTCATATAATCTTGTTAATATTTATAAATGCATTAAATTGAGTATCACTTTCGTAGAATATGACTTTTTTTCTAGGAATCCGTTAATGTTTCGAGCGAAGAAGTAGAAATCAGTATTAATCCATTACACCTTCCTAAAACATACAATAATCAAACCATGAAGCGATCAATTAACCTTCCTGACATAGTCTTGTGACGTCAACGCGCCAGATTTCTTGACCGCGATTTGCAAAGAAACTAGTTAAATCAATCTTCAAGGATCTTGATCCTAATTTTCGGACACACACTCCTTTCACTTTGATGAAAATAGGAAAAAACCATAGTAAGGGACTTTCATGCACGAAGCAAAGCACAAATAGCGAAAGTTTTCTTATAACGCTTATAGACAGTGTATCAACAATTGAACGTAATATATATTAACAACATAATATACTACTTACGCGGGTTCAACTGGACTAGCATATTTTAGCAAAGTTTGCAATCGTACGTATCCGGGTGGCCACAGTGGTAATACATTCGTATCCATGAAAGAAGCAACGAACGATTCCATACTCTCCTTTCTTGATCTGAGAATTTTGAAATAATGTCTCCTGGCGTTTGCAATTTCAAGAACGAGTTTCCTAAAATTGAAATTTACATATATATGCGTGAATACACATTCAGATTATCCATGAATTATATATTTTTGATCAAACAAACTTTGCTTCGTCGGTCCATGGAAATCGTTTTCGTGGTATTTTTGGCTTTTCCGTGTTTTTAGATGAACCATCTTCTTCATCGCTGCTCTCTGCATCTGCAGGAGATCCCTCAAAACCCCTGAAATCGATCAGTTAATTACATCGTAGTCAAGATAATATTATAAGATTCATGATTTCGCGATGACAAAATGATGATCAGCATTTGTTGTGACAGAATTCCGCGATCTTAATTTCTTTTTTAGTAATAATATAGTACATAATCAAATAGCCTAGTCATCGAATTGTGTCCCACATCAAATGCAGTTTTTTGTTTGACACAAAAGATGATTCTAGTGATGAACTAAACACTGATACTGATGATAAAAAGCCCCGCATCTTCCTCTGCTTTCTCAGTAATATGATAGATGAAGAATAATGACCACGCTAAGTAATAAAATGTCTTTTCTTCTATATGTAAACATAATTGATTGTATGAATGTTGGTAATTTGAGAGAGCAAAAGCATGTAAGCATGACTAGATTAGAGGAAAAAAGATTAAAGGCAGTAGAAAAGAGAAGAAAGATAAAGAGAAAGAGCAGTCGAAGAGGCGAGAATAGAAAGGGGTTCCTCTTACGAGGGGCGCCTTACCAACAGTACCGATATATCTCCCAGTATAATTGAGGACTGAGAAATAAAAAATTACAATAAGTTTATATTCAAGAAATTATAAACTATAGTTTTATATGTACTGATATACTGGATTTTTTAAATTCAACTGTATTTAATAGCATTAAAAAAATTATATATAAAACAATTTATTATAAATAGAATTAAAACGTAATCTACTATTAAAGAGCAAAAGTGAACTGTCGCAAAAATCAAGAATAAAAGTTACGACATACCAAACTAATAATACATACTATATATAATAAAATTACTTACTTTTCATCAGCAACTTTCTGACATTCTTTCATATATTTGTCCATAACTGATGGCATAATATTATCAATAAGCGCCTTTAATCTGTAAAGTGTTAACAAACTTTACCAAACTAAAAACTTTCAAAGAACAAAAATATAAAAAAGATATAATTTATGCATAATATTATAAATATCAAAATAAATTTCTTATGTATTGTACAGTTGATACAGC